CCTGGCTCGTTGGTGCGCCTGGGTAACGCTTCGGCTAGGCAAGAATAACACATCTTTTTTCTTTTATTTTTTTATTCAGGAAAGGTTGCCTTTGGCATGCAAGAAGCGCAAAACCTATTCGAAAACTGCAGGTTCAGAGTAGCTGCTCCGAACCTGCTCCGAAATGGCGTTGGGAAACTGAAAACAATAAACTTTGAACCATCTATAGAGAACCTAAACGAAACCAAAAAACAAGGAGTATGTACTATAATCTTAGTACGCAGCTTGCTTACTATATACTTGCATGCATGCTATATTGACAATGCCACAAGTACTGCTGATATATATTTCTCATTCAGCTGTATATATTTGTACCTGACATGCGCACTATATATATTGGTGAAACGGGTGTACGATTAGTTCGACACCGTGTACTGATTACTAACTGCTGCTCTGTCGACCTTGATGTGTGACTTATTACATTTACCACTTTATTAGCTTAGACCTCGTTTATGACAAACAAACTAGCAGTTAAGTATATAGCTCGTTTAGATGCTGTTGGTTTTTTTTTTAGTTTTAATGTAGTGGTTTCGATGAAATACCAAAATAGCGTTGCTTTCATGTAGTACCGTTTATAAACTACTGCTTTGGGCATAACTGCATGTCGTACGCCTATTATTTAGTGCTCAGCTTTATTGCTTTTATATAATTTCTGCCACGTGTACTGGCATTTTAATAGATACATATAAGTAAAATGAGTTACATGAGGCTCATCTATAGTGTTCAGTGGCTATCCATCTGCTTATTTGTTTGTTTTTTTGCAATTTGAAATGATCATCATGTGTACAATACATTAAGTAATAAACACTAACATTTATAAGGTGCTTCAATGATCTCTTAAGAAATTTTAGGAATAGTATGCCAAGTTATCCTAAAACACCAATATAGCTGCTCAGAAGCCTATTTTCTGCTCCAGAGATAGCTACAAATACGAAAGCATTGCTTCTTGTTTGCAGACAGGATAATATGACTCAAATATTTACAGTTTACTTTAGTGAACGTCGAAGGAATCCTTCAGTCACTGTGGAACTGGAGAGCTTTCGCGGGTAAATTGAGGCATCCCAAATTATCAACTGAATCTTGTTGCGGACGCGTGTGGCATGGTGTATTCATCTGAAATGAGCCATGCACGAATAATGGCCACGTGTAAGGAATGAACAACGAGTAGTGAACTCTGAAGTATTCACAACAACTATTTCGTGCTCGTGCCTCAATGCTTGGTCCGGCTTCTGCAGACGAAATACGTCTCTGCCAGGAAAAAATGGCAACGCTTACGCGAGTATTTAAAGTCGTAGAACATGTGAGCCGCGTTGATAACGTACACGCATCATGAAGCTCAAAGAAAAAAATGTTCGCTTTAACTCAAGCGTCCAGGCGCAGATAACAGCTCGCAGGAGGTAGTGCTGATTCTACCCCACAGATGTGCAATTTGATAAACACGTAATGAAGCTTACACGATGTACAAATACTGCAGTAAATGCCTAGCTTATGGTTTTGACGCAAATCTGTAGTTGTACACAGGCTGACTTTGAAAAAAAAAATGAATCGACACAAGAAAGAACACTGCAGTCGTTAGTTACGCATTCCTCCTAGCGACATAGCTTGGGCTACAGAAGAAAACTGCACGAGATGCTAACAGCGCGCGCACGCACGCACACGCACACACACAAGCACGCACGCGCACGCGCACACAAACACGCACGCACGCACGCACAAACACACGCACACACGATATAAGGTGCACGCTTCTAAAAGCTGTGTTTATCGTCCACGTTTCGTTCGAATACCAACCGGTCTTGGCGTCGACAAATATATATATATATATATATATATATATTACATATTACCCGAAGAACTGATATTCATTGCAGGGATTTTTCATGACAAAACCATTATATCCTATAGAGCACGCTGTACTGGAGGACTCTGTAGATTAGTTTTGTCCACCATAGTTCTTAAACGTGCGCCTGTCCAGGCATGCAGATGTACCTTGCATTAAGTACGGCTGCCATGTGCAGGAGTGGAACCCATGCCCTCGAGCTTAGGAGAGCGTCTTACCCCGGCGTATACCATACCAACATATTATACAATGAACGAAGCCTGTATACTGAGAACGAATGGTCCTGCTAGGAAATAAGTTATCCTTTTTTTCCCACCTCTAATGTATGTCCGGTATAGTGTTCGACGCAGGCGACTCGAGACGAACGCTACTAGATGAGGTTCAAATCTAGTAACGTTGGCTCGCGTCATATGTACGGGGGCTTTAGTAACTCGAGATAAAGTCGAAGGCTGTTTCACTGTGCACAGCAAATGCATTCATGGGAAGAAGATGATGAAGTTATGTATACGGTTGCGAGAACAAAAGAAATGGATTCATATGAAACTTTTTAGATGCGCGGTCTTCCCGAAAATTCTCTTTTTCCCTCACTGATTGATATTATTTAAGAGCATCATTAGATATAAAGGCAGGTTTTTCATAAGTGTGAAGTTAATAATTAAAAAATAAATCAAACAATGCGTCTTATACTAATAAAGCAGAATTTTTATTTTTTTCAAGATAGAGGATAAAAAAAAAACGTTGTCTTAATAAAGGCTTAGCAGCATATAGCAATGAACTATAGCACATCACTTGTCATCGTGTTGTGGTATATATATCGTGGGCGTTCACACGCTTTCAAATATCTTGATAGCTCGCGAAATCTCTCATGCGCAGTCGAAGTGTCGAAGAATTCCCCTTGATTTAGTGCGACATATATGTGGAAGGGCAATCGATTCATTGAGTTATTGATATGTGGGGTTTAACGTCCCAAAACCACCATATGATTATGAGAGACGCCGTAGTGGAGGGCTCCGGAAATTTCGACCACCTGGGGTTCTTTAACGTGCACCCAAATCTGAGCACACGGGCCTACAACATTTCCGCCTCTATCGGAAATGCAGTCGCCGCAGCCGGGATTCGATCCCGCGACCTGCGGGTCAGCAGCCGAGTACCTTAGCCACTAGACCACCGCGGCGGGGCTGGAAGGGCAATCGATTAAACTTGAATACGCGAAGTCCTTCGAAGTTCTGACTGCTACGATCGCTGTCAGGCTTCGAGCAATATCTTACTCCTAGCTGGAATTCACGCTTGTTCGATTGGTTGCCGGGACATTCATTATTCTATCAGCGTTTGTTATTTCGTTGCCCAATATGACACTTGAATGCTATTTGAGGCCTAATTGCAACCACCCAAGAAAGAAACATTTGTATCGCTTTTACGAGTAGTACAGTTGTGCCCCAAAATTTTTCTTTTACATTATCAAACAGGACCACTCACGTGAAGCGGGGCATGCAAGCTCCAACAAAGTTGAAGCATAGAATTTATGCACTGGGACGCTTATGAGAAATAACATTGAAAAATGGCTTTATATCCCCGCATGACTGCGATAGAAAAACAAGATGACGTGGCGCAATAATAAAAGCAGCATTGCACGATAGATCTTTTACTCTACGGTCGTCTTAAATGTGTTACAATTCTGACATTATTTATGAAAGGCTTTCCAAACCCTATTTTATTAATTGAGATCATCTCGACCACAATAAAAAATTGTATACATGAAGTTTACGGTCCTCGGTAGTAATATCGAAGTATTTCTAAAGGCATCAGAATATTTCACTTTAAGCCATAAAGCAAACCCAGAATTTGCTGACAGAATCAATTATTTCAACTTTGACACTGATTTCTAATATTTATTTTGTGTTTCTGTAGTTATTATTTTAGCGAAGACAAACGTTTTCTTTTGTTGGTCGTGTATAATGGTATTCAGTGGCTACAGTGAATATATTGCTGTACACATCGTGTTTTTTTTTCTTTTATGGAGCCTTCAGCCTGAGGCAACACAATTATTGCATTTCAAATGGAAATAAACCACAGGTGCTATCACTGAGATTGGTTGGTTGAGGTGACGTGTGATATAATTCTTAAAATAGAGACAATAAGAGATACGCCTACTCTGGATGCAATCAATGTATGGCAAAAGAAAGCTTGAGCAAAATATTGTGCAAGCAGACCATAATGAGACGTCGTTTGCTCTTTTCTGACATGTGTAATAAAAGATTTTTCAACAAAACAAATACATACGCGCTATTCAAACTTCTCAACATTGTTTCTCTTATCATCGAACTCCTATGCGAGAAGCACAGACGAAGAATATAAATACCGTATACAGGCACATACATTTATTGGTCTGTGCAGAAAACATCAGCTATATTTACCTTGACTGCTGATAACGAAATGCTTTTTTGCTGCCTTTATACACAGTTGAGCACTTGAAATTAGGCGATACACTTCAGCCCATCAAGTTTCTGCGTGCCCAAGTACGCTATACAGAAACATGAAATCGTCACCAACCCCTCGGCTTAAAGAGTACAAGTCTATATCAACACTTCTGGGATATTATGTGCGAAAAACATGACATGATTTCGATCGATGTATACGGGAGACTCCACAATAATTTTAACCAATTCAGGTATTGTTACGTAGAAATAAATTTGAGTGCACACAGTTAAAACCATTCAACCCTCCGCGATCGGTATCGAACGGACGATCTCTACCTCACAGGAGTGCAACTTCGCGACCAGCGGGTGTACACATGAATGTAGTGCGAATATATATCTACGGCTAGTCGGAGGCAGTGCTCAAGGCACGTGAGAGTCGTGTTGAAGGCCTACCATTGTCGGAGCAGATGACGGCCATTGAGGTGTCCCTCACAATCGGGTTATTGCGCTAAGGCCTTAAATAACTCGCCCCAGCAGTGACCAAGTGCTGGAGATGCACATGCATGTTTGCATTGCTGTCGCTCAGTGTCATGGACTACATACAATCAAATTCACTGCAGCATGCGACTCGCGAGCACCATCGCGCATTTGCGCATGTGCAGCCATGTGTGGGTGCACGTGGCGAAGGCGCGTAGGTGCCTCACCTTGGTGAATGGCAGAGCAGGCCGGCCAGAGGGTCCGGCTCGGCGTTGACGAGGTCGGCCAAGTCAGACTGCGAGCACTTCCACGCCTCGTCGTCGTCCCAGAACTCCATGGGGAGGGCTTCCAGAATCCTCTAAGGATTCTGGAACCAGAACCTCGGGGTTCCGAATCCTTAGGGCACGTGCAGCGCTCGTGGCCGCGAGCGCACGATTGCGCCGAGAAGCCCCGGCCGAGCGCAGGAGGCAGTGCTGGGGCTTCCTCCGGTCGCGGCGGGGCTTCGGCACTCGCTGGGGATTCCTTTTGGACGGCCACGGCTGTGCACAAAAGAGCGCGCTAGCTGTACGGTGACGCCAACCCGAGCCCCCGCCCCCGGCTAGGACGCCGCCTGCGGACAGAGCTCGAGGCCGGCCGAGGGCTGGTCAGGAGTGACGCTAAACAAGAAGGCGTCAGCAATACAAGACTGGAACCCGTACCTTATTTCAGCCGTCTTGGCGCAACAAGTGCATCGTCTTTCAGTGCCGCACGAGCGTCGCTGGTGTCCTGTCGGCGCTGCGGCGTGTGCCGTGTCGTGCAGATGCGCGGAGGCAGCTCACCTTTGTTTCAAGCTCGAGGGTCGGGCCCCCCGCTACCTGGGCGTCAACGAAACCCGATCTCCGCGGCCGGGCGCACGTGCGCCGGCGGCCGCCGCCAGTTGGTGTCCGCACCCCTCGCGCAGCGGCCGTCGTTGCGTGGGGCGCACCGCTCTGCAGCTGGCCACCGGCAGCAGCAGCGACGCCGGCCACCAGTGTCCCGCAGTGTCGCCGGAACCATTACCCGGACGAGGGAAACGCGCCACGGGCTAATCGGGATTGCGTGAGTCCCCAAACGTGGCGTAAAGCGGCGTGACGTCGCCACCGCGGGAGCCACGACGCTGGAATGCGCGCTTCCTGCAGCAGGGCGACGCACATCTTCTGCGGTATAGACCATTCTGACGAGGGACAACGTTTCAATGAAACGCGCCGTGCCGAAATATTCGTGCGGGCACGCGAGAATGTTAGTTTGTTTTTTTACGTTTTTGTTTGTACAACGTTGTTTCTCTGCTCTGATTACCGTCAAGGGTATACAGAGCGCAAACGACAAAATGCAAACAGATATGGATGTTTCGCTGTTACTTGTAGAGTATAGCCCTGTCCTGAGTACATGCAGTGTCCATTCCTTCGTCGTTCTTGTCTCCCTGAAGATGACTGCGCTGTGACATTTTCAGAACGTGAGTTCTGAAAATTAAATGCAAAAGTAAACGTGTGTCTCGTATCACGTCTCTGAGAAAAATATTCAACTTATACCAATATCGCGAGCACATTAGACGATAGATAAGATGAAATGTGATTTCTGCCATGTTCGAGTTCTGAACTGCAAAGTACAGTCATCCGTATATATATATATATATATATATATATATATATATATATATATATAATATATATATATATATATATATATATATATATATATATATATATATATATATATATATATGTATATATATATATATATATATATACATATACTATGCACAATAATATTGAAAGTTAAAGTTGCCTGCCAGTGACGAAAAAAACTGATGAACAAAAATATTTGTGAATTAGACCTTGATGATTCACAAGGCGACTAGCCCCTTCAATAATCTCTCCATTATTGTTTTTCGTTATTCGCAGCTATCCTAATAAGAATTAGGTACGATTGTCCAATTTACTTGTGCGCGAACACATAGTACTCGCGCAACTGCAAGAGCCGAGCAAGAACAGCGTGAAGCCCCGCCGCGTTGGTCTATAGTGGTAGTCGGCTGCTGCACCGCAGGTCACGGGATTGAATCCCGGCTTCGGTAGGGCTGCATTTCCAATGGGGGCGAAAATGCTGTAGGCTAGTGTGCTCATGCCGATTTGGGAGCACGTTAAAAAACCCCGGGTGGTCAAACTTTCCGGAGCCCTTCACTACGGCGTCTCTCATAGTCATATGGTGGTTTTCAGACGTTAAACCCCGTATATCGAATCAATAAGAGCACGAAGCATATTGTATCAGATCATATACTCAGTGGGCACGCTGCCCTTCCTTAGTGTAACTTAAGTGTCTGTAGCTAGTGCATCGCAACACCCGTAACGTTGTAATGTTTTGTGGGACGTTAAACCCCACAAATCAATCAATCAACGTTGTAATGTTGCGCGTAGTTGTTTTTTTTTTTTTTCGAGCTAAACATCATAGATGGAACAATTTTTTATGTATGGCGAATATCAAAACAGTGCTAAAAATATATAATAACTGTTTTAGTTTGCGCACGCACGCGCACCCTTCCCCCCTCTACACACAGACACGCACACACACGACAGCAGTTACCATCAAGCAGTTTTGAGACTTCGATTCCCGATTTCGGAAATCGACCGCAGCGACTGCCAACAAAGTTTGGTTAGCTTAACCCGCCAATCACACCTGCTCAGTGCACCGAGTGCGCCGGGGCCAAAGCGCCCGGTCCTCTTGAAACTGGCGCGGCCACTCGCGGTCACCGTATACGCGCATCTGCGACCGCTTCCGACCCAGCGGTGATCAGTGGCGCCTTGGCGACAAGGCGAGAGAGCTGGCGTCGTGTTGGTCGCCTATTAGCGAACCACGAGCGGCGCCGATTAGGCCGTTCTTTCCCCGGTGGGGGAAGGCCAAGGGCGGCCTACACCTTCACGCTCATTCTCGCGGAGACGGAGCGGGAAGCACGACTTCCCTCGCCTTCTTCACGAACACAGGCGACGACGCCCTGCTGCTAGCCGGCGCCCGCTTTTGTCACAAATTGTCACACAGCGCGTGACCGCTGCTTCTATTGGGACCACCATGCGTTCGAGCTGGCATGTTATCGTCAAAATAAATAAACGCCTGAACTGCGTTTTTGCTCGCAAGTTGTGACGGCGCTCCGAGTTTTTCGGTAGTCACGCAGTCCAGTTTTGCAGGTCGGGGCGCTCACCCGATGCACTGCTTGCGGCGGGTGGATTGTCAGATGGTTTTATAGTGCTAAAAGGTGCTCGAGTGTTCACAACACGAGTGAAACAAGAATAGGTCCGCAGGCCAGTCTGTCGAGAGAATTGAGCTCACTGAAAATTGGCGGTACTTGGATATATATATATTGAGCGAGTGGTAGACGCAAAAAGGAGAGCACCATTGTGGATACGGCGCGACCAACGCGGATAAAGAAAAGAACACGCAATTTTCGTCGACCGCGTTTGTCGCACTGTAGCCCGAACAAATGTCATACCGCAACTCACTCGATATCTGAACAAGTAAGGCTTGTTTCTTTGTCACGTTTATTAAAGGACCACTCAACACGCCGCGTTCAAAAACGAAATGGGGTGCTTTTCTCCTCTCCTCCGCACACGGGATGCACCGTCCTCACCCCTTAGTTCTTAAGAGCATGTGGACAATGTCAGAACTAAGCGCTAGAGCATATCAGAATTTCGCGCCTCTCGGTTACGCGCCGTGATCGCCGCTTGCACAGTTGTAAATGCCATGAAAGTGATCGGTTGATCGTGAACGGTGTTCATGCAAGACAAAGAAGAACGTATGGGCGGCTGCAAGGCACAGAAGTGCAGGAGACAAATCACGTTTGATCTTTTGCGTATATGAACCGATCGAGATCATGTACACTATAGTCGTCACGGAAAGTATACTGTCTGCATCACAGAAGTGCGCAAGAAGGACAAGATATACCAGGAGAGAATATTGCGCTATTCTTTTTTGTATGTTGAGAGCTTGAAGAGGGGCCCTTTAAAGCAGATCTTATGACAGGAGCGGAAAAATTAAGAAGTCGAATGAGAGTTGTGTACAAGGAAGCGCATGATATTGCCAGAACACAAACCGATGTTGACGTGAGATCCCAGTTCTTAGGCGCCGAACAGCAAGAAAATTGGACACCCAAGTCGGTGAACAATAAGTTATACGACTTGCGAATAACTTATAGTGATATGGTTATATGAAAAGAAAACTAGAAAATGGTGGGCTTCGTTCGATAGACTCATTGAAAACGTCAAATTGGGCATTTAGTGGATTCGCCGGTATACCTCTAATGAGGCACGAGAAAAATAACGAGAAATGTAGATGCTCTTTGATCTTACATCTTACACGAAATCCGTTAACGGCGTTTAATCAATCACTCTTTTGTTTGCCGAAACTCGCCGCGGTAGCTTTGTCATCTAAGAGGCCAGGGGTCCAGCTTTGGGCCATAAAAAACAGAGCCGGGAGGAAAGGGGGCTGATTACCTCGGTGAGATCTGGCGTTAATAAATGCTTTTCTTTTTCTTCTTTTGCACAGCTAAGCTTCAGGACGCTGATTCTATTTCCGGCCATGGTTGTTGCATTTCGACTTGGTCGACATATAAACAAAAGCATGCAGTTGTGGACCTTGTGCTTAGATTTGTGGGAATGATAAAGGAAACATAGATGCGAGTATGTTGAGTCGGCACGAACGACTCCAAGGTTTTCTTTTCAAAGGAACTCTACAGAGAAAAACGATATTTCACGTATATTAGTAATTCACGATACCACAAAAAAAATACCGCTCTTACCGTTAGAAAACGCTTGAAAATTGCGAAAACGCATGAAAAGAAAGTGTGGCTGGTGACGACATGCACCTTAACACTTTCGCACCAAACGTTGGGACGTCACAGACTTTGTCAAATATTATGACCTTCGTTCCTTATCAGTCAAAACGAAATACATTGTCTTTTTTTTGGGGGGGGGGGGGCTAGACTCAACACACCAAGGATATTTTTTTGAGCTAATGTCGCCGAAAGGCTGAAAATATGGTTTAAAATTTATGACGTCGCACAAAAGGATCTCGGCATAATAGAAAAAAAAAGAACCTGGACACTATTTTTTTCGTTATTGATAAACCTATTATCGTGAAATTCACATCGGAGTTCTCAAAGTACATATTGTCAATCAAAACTGATTGATGGCTTCACATGACCTCTTATACATACCGCATCCTCTTGCAATATATCCTTACACAGGGTGCAAACGAAGATTGGCTGGAAATACTGCATTGTTTCTAGTACCTCGGATGTGCTTGGGATTCTGAAGAGACTCCATGGAACTCATGAATACGCAATGTAAAGTTAGCAATACCTAAACGAAAGCATATTGAGCGACGTCTTGTACGTTTTATTGAAAACAATATTTTCATACTCGAATAATCCTGAAAACTATTTGCCTCCAAAACGATTACACATCGAAGTTAATGGATTACTTGAGAGACAAATATTTCAATTGATAACACACCTTCCAGCTTGAAAACCTCTGTATTCGGGAGATCCGTGCAGCGAGAGGTGTACGAGAAAATAACACTATAGCATATAGGTTCTTGTTTACTGTTTCTCTAGGGCAAAATAAAAATATAAACAGCTCCACATGTTTGCCAGTAACGCTTTTGCACGTCAGCGATAACGCTGGTATACTCGCAAATATGTGGCACTTGCACGCGTACGCGATGAAGGGACAAAACGTGCCCCGCGGCACCGCCCTTAACTCATACCTATACACTCTTCCACATGACATTGCTACAATGCTAAAAAATTAACACTGAAAATTTTTCGTCAACGTTATTGACAGTGCCAAAGTTATAAATAAATAACTGCCTTTGTGCGTAAGATTGCACCAAGTATCGTTTATGGCTGGTGGTTCGAAAAACTGCAGCCATATGCTTGGTATTTGCAGCCAGCAGCACGAAGCGAAGAAGTGTGCCTTCTTCATCAGTTCCCCAATGAGTCCAGAGATAACACGTCGAACCACGAATAACGA